GGAGGCCTTATTTTAGTCCCCTTCTTTCTCCACCCTTTTGTTAAGAGGAGAGGATGGGAAGGAAAAGGGGATTTGCTGATGGAGGAGACGCATAGGAAGGGGAAATGTCCTCTTTATATGTGTCTTCTACGTCAATTAAGGGCGGGCAACACATCTGCAATTGCGGATGTCTATGGGCAGCGGTTGCTTTTACTTTTGGTGGATTCAGATGGCCGCTTGCTCGTTTGCCACCTAATGTTATAAAAAAAATAGTAACGCAAAATGATATTTACCTTTTCTCTTACATAAACGACTTGGGGTGTCTTCATGAAGTTTTCCCAAGCGTTCCTGAATTCCGCGTATAGTTGTTTGAATTCGTCTTTAAAAGGAATGTATTTCTCCATTTTCTCCCAAACAACATTCCATAGTTTCTTGCTGTATTTCTTTATGTTCGTTATCAAATCGTTGTGCACGAGGTCTTTGTATATACTGAAAATTATATACAAAATAAAAACAAGTTATTCGTACTAATGTTATAAATGCGAAAGTTTAGATGGATGGATGTTTGTTAGAGTTTGTAGCCTAAACGGCTTAAGAGATTTCGATGAAATTTTGTATGGATGTAGAGGATAGTCTGGAAGAACACATAGGCTACTCACTTTTGTTTTTTTTATTCCACGCGGACGGAATCGGGGGCGAAAGCTAGTCTGAACATTTTAATTTCTAGTTTAAAAAAGACAATAAAACTGTTAACTTACCGGTCCATTTCATGTCCAAAAGTCGATACATAGTTAAAATATGGAGAATCAGTTAGTTCTTGAGTCCTGTTATAGAAGAAGTCCATAAGACTCTTCCATATAGTAAACACGAATGACTCGGTATAATGTAATACTTTGAAAAACAACGGTTCTATTGATTTCAGTAAATCATGCCAATACACTGATAATCTATTCGTTGCATTCACCCAAGTAACCTCCCAATATTCCAAAAACCTCATATGTAAATCTCTAACGAAGTTATCGTATTGTAAAATCATAGTTTCCAATTTTCCAGATACTAATTCCATGAAATCAGCTTCCAAAACTTTATTTGCCGACTCTAAGAAATTTGAATACGCCGTTTTTATAGAATCGACGACATAAGTAAGACTTTGTTTTATAGATTGACTTGTATTGCCCATCATACCCCACATATCGTTAACAAAACCAGGCAAACTCTCCAAATGATTTCTTATAGCCATCTCATCGAGTACATAATACGTGAATTCGACAATATCTTTGACATAAAAATCATTACTATCATAAGAATCGTTTAAAAATCTTTCAAATTCATCCAAATCGTCTTTTATTACATGTAAATCGTTCAAATCGTCAAGAAAATCTCTAATTCTCGGTTTTGCGTCTATCCATATGGCTCGTAAAGCAAGATGGGCTTCCATTGGCGCTTCCTTTATAATCATAAGAGTTTCATTGATTTGTGCGTATAATAATTTCAGAGTATAAACAGCTTGTGATTTGACTTCGCTGAATATCTGCGGCCGCCATACCACAGAGCTTGTGAGAAGTCTAGAATGGTTCAGGCGGATGTAGGAGGCAAGGTCTACGGTTGTGACGTCATCGAAGTTTCGCCATGCGTTCAATTTGGCTGATCTAGTGTCGACAATTTTGCCAATTAAATGGTAGGATATATCTATAAAAGAAAAAAGATTATAGAACGTTCGTGAGACATTATTTATCATACTTATTATTATAAATGCGAAAGTATAGATGGATGGTGTAGGGCTATTTTAAAAAAAAGAATTATTCAAATTATTTCAAAAGTATGTGTTTACGCTTTATTATAATACAAGCTGTTCTTGTGCGATTTCATCAGCATAAAATTATTTTATTGTTTACATTTACATGTGTCAAATTGTCAATTGCAAATGTCAAAATGACATGACATGACAAAACTTGGCAATCTTGCTTCCTCGATGTTGGCAGTAACTTATGGTCTCTTTCCCACATTAGGGTTTTATGCAAAATATTTACCCCCTAAGTTTATGGCGTGAAAATATATAGCTTAAAGCGTGACGTAAGTGTAGGACTTTTTATTAAAAAGAGAATTATTCAAAAATAGGCTGCAATTGCTGAAATCTTAGGCAACAAAGAAGTGTGTGTTTACGCTTTATTATCATAGTATAGAAAACAGACTGCAGATAGAATTATCTCATTACTTGCTTGTAATACGTGTGATGTAATAAGAAGATACACATTTAAGAATGTGTACATTAGGGGAAGTTTGAAAGCAGCTAGTGGTCGAGACATTGAGAAGCAAAAAGATAGCGTGATTACGTTATGTAGAGAGATGTCATAAACAAGAAATTATTAAGATTGAATATAGACATGCAAATGTAGAGGAAGATTGAAGAAAATAAATGCATTATGTGGAAGAGGACATACTTAAGAAGTGAGTAAAATATACGACATATGATAGAGATCCGGCACGCCCGGTGTAATACCACGACCACACAGAAGACAGGCGTGAAATGAAAGCAATTCCGTGTTTCGTCTGATGAGTGTGGTGCCGGAGGCCTCATTATAGTCCCTTTCTCTTTACCACCCTTTTCTTACAAGGAGAGGATGGGAACGGGAAGTGGATTTGACGGTAGAGGAGATACATATGAAGAGGAAATATCCTCTTGATGTGCGTCTCCTCCTCCGTCAGATAAGGGTAGGCAACGCATCTGCAACGCTTCGCCATTTTGGCGGATTCAAGTGTCCGCTAGCTCGTTTGCCACCTTATTTTATATAAAAAAAAAGATATATGGAAGAGCACATACTGGCTGGTTGATGACTACAAAACTATAGAATTAAAATTACTTTAAACTCACCATTAGTACTATTGTAATGTCCAACAAGTGATTTATCTATCATAGATAGTTCAGCAAACGCGGTATCATTTCCATCAGGATGTATCACAAGTCCTCGTAATTTGTATGCAGGATATATTAATTCCCAGGTGCCGTTCACTTTGTAGAAATAAGTCTCATTGGCGCGCTTAAAATGGTTAATATTATTAATGCAAAAGTTTAGATGGATGTTAGAGTTAGGGCCTGTCCCACAACTGGCTGATAGAGGCTCAGATAGCTTAAAAATGACGTCACTGTTATAAGGGAACAAAATCCGATATTTCCATCACATATTTTATACGTTGGACTAGCTGTTCCCGTGCGGCTTCATCCGCATGAAATTATGAAAATCTTTTTATTGATAACATTTGTCAAATTTAATTGCAAATGTCAAATGACATGATTTGATGACAAAGCATGGCAATTTTGCTTCTTTGATGATGGCAGCAACTTATGGTCTCTTTCCCACCTTAGAGTTTTTATCCAAAATATTTACCCCCTAAGTTTAATGGCGTGGAAATATATAGCCTAAAGCGTGACGTAAGTGTAGGGCCTTTTATTAAAAGAAGAATTATTCAAAAATATGCTGTGATTGCAGACATCTTAGGCAACAAAGAAGTGTGTCTTTACGCTTTATCATATTATTATAGAATGATATCAGAGAATTTACAATTTGGTGGGACAGGCCCTTAGTAACCTAAACTGCTGAAGGTATCTCGATGAAATTTGGCACATACGTAGAGTTTAGTCTGGAAGAACACATAGGCTAATTACTTTTGTGTTTTCTTATTCCACGCGGACGGAATCGCGTGCGAAGCTAGTATATTTATAACACAAAGTAAATAGGTATTTATTAAGGGCGTCTTTCGACCACATATATTAACTATCAGATGAGATCATGGTCAAGCGGTTATTGAACATAAAAAAAAAAGTTAAAAATCTAACTAAGAATTCAAAAACCCAAACCAGAGACTTTAATCGACTTTATTATTAGTTCATATTAGGCTTGTAATTTAGTAAACTATCTAGTAATTTAAAAACAAAACATGTCTAAAATTATTTAACTCTGTGGTAGTATACTTGTATAGTGAAATTCCTTACCTCCCAATTAACAGCGCTTGTATTCAAATCGATTAACATTTTATTCCGTCTTAATTTCTCATAGAACAACGATTTCTGGAACTTATAGAATGTCTCCAAGTAATACCATCTGCTGTGAATATTTACATCAGATTTCACATCCAGAGCTAAATTCGTAGACGGATGTGTACATGTTAAGGCGAACTTATAATCACGTATCGGTCCATTAGAGTTATCCATTAATATGGAATGCAGTTTTAAATATTCAGTCTCGTAGTCCGAGTATTGTAGTTCCAATGTTATATTGGACATGACCGCTGGTGTTGCTAAATATTGACCTTTCAGGAGTACATCCTGAAATAATGTTTAGTATTAATGATTTTTTATTGTTTACCAGCGGTTACAGGAATTTTCACAAAACAGTGAAGCGATCGCTGCTCATATTCGGAATTCTAAATGAGTTGCCTACTAAGGAGGGATCCTGCTTTGGCGCCAGGAGGGTCACATAGTCTTTGTCAAGCTCCTGACCGACCAGCTCAGGGGGGGGGTCATAACCCCCCCCTGGATCCGATGTATTTGCCTACATCAACAGAGGTGGGGATGCATGACAGGAGATATTTCCCCTACCTATGCGTTCTATTTCTCGCCAAATCCGCATTCCCTACCAATACTTTTCATGTACGAGAAGGGATTTGTATAGTAGAGAAAAATTTAACCAAAGTTATGGAGTAACAGTTTAAAAGTAGGTAGAGCCCGCTTTCCCAGCAATACTACGACCACATACAAGACAGGAGTGAAGTGGAAGCGATTCCGAAAATCAATGTTGACGGTGGGGAAGACGCACAGGAAGGGGAAATATCTTCTTTATGTGCGTCTCCTCCTCCGTCGATTAAGGGTAGGCAACGCATCTGGAATTACGATGCATATGGGCATTCGCTTTGCTTTCTCGGTAAATTAAGTTTCTTAACATGATATCAATATAAATGGGGGAGAGGTGGTGTGTATACCGCGCATAGGTGTAGCGAGATACAAAATGTACCGTCAACATATTCGACAAGAACCTATAACAAATCTGTACCGTGTAGTGTCGCACTGCTCTTACCTTCCTGAAGGACGGATGTGAGAGAGCGAGATGGACGTTGTGCACCGCGGTGTCGGACTCCGCATCCGCTGGGGGCGTGTCCCACCTTGCATTGAGCTCCGCGCTCTTGTTCTCTCCGCGCACGTCCCACTGTAACTGCGCACGACCTTCTAATAAGGCCTCCTGCAGACGGTATACTGCGTCTACTGAGAATGTACGCAGCGGATATTGTACGTTTAGTAGGACTTGCTGGCTTTCTGTGTCCTCCTGGAATGGGATAAGGTTGTCTGTTGAGTTTCTAGAATCTTCTTGAAAGTACCTTCTGGTGGTTTAGAATGGCTGATTGATATGTCATTTAAATATGTATTGAATTCCAAATTTCTTACATATGACAATTTTTCAATATTGTTTCAATATTTGGTCGTAATCCTTCGAACTATTTGTAGTATCTTAAGTAAAAAAATATTATTAAATCTTAGTTCTAGAATCCTTTATAGTCTAATCGTTAATGGATAAATCCTAAGATAATAAATTACAGCGCCAATTTAAATTAAGTAAGTCAAATAATTATCACAATCATCCTTTTTTTAGATAGAACATTATTTTTATAGATGTCGATTTTTGTACAATATCTTTAGACTAACATAAAAAAATCTTGTAATAATTAATTTCAACAACTAGCTGTTGCTCAAGACTTCGCCGCGTGAAATTAAAATACTCCCAGACAAATTACCTTTCCAACGGTGTAAGAATTTTTAAAATTGGACCAGTAGTTTTTGAATTATTCAATACATACAAAAATATAAATATACATATAGATCCCATAAAGCAAAAAACACATAAATACATACCACACTCATATTAGTTACATGCACATCGTACTGTATCCAGACATCGTCGGCCCATTGCACGCGGCTAGCTTGCGTGAGCTCTCTTTCTATAGTCTCGTACTTATTATCAAAGCTCCAAGTACGCTGGCCGTGCATCGCTGTTAGTTTTAATTTCTTCCCAATGTCATAAGTTAATACATCAAGTTTTCCAGTTACGTTGAATTTTGTTGCATTTTGTAGGTGGAATACTGTAGCTTGTTTTACATCCTGCAAGAATTTTAAGATTTTATTATTGTAATCTAGTTGTTGCCCGCGACTTCACCCGCGTGAAATTAAAAAATAATAATATATATGCTATAGCTTTTTAATGGTGAAAGAATTTTTGAAATAGGCTTAGTAGTTTTTGAGTTTTTTCAATACATATTAAAATCAAAAAATACAATTTTTCTCTTTATAATATTAGTATAAATGAGAAATTTTTGATGCATGTTTGTAAGTTTGTAGCCTAGACTGAAATGATCTGGATACAATTTGGCATGAGCAACATCTATAGTCTGTACTGTTCTGTTCAACAACAGTCTTTAAGAAAACATAGGCTACTTGCTTTTTCTTTATTAATTCCACGAACGGAGTCGTGGGCGAAAGCTATTACTTGCATAAAATATTGTTATCTCTTTCATTCTGTTTGAAAAAAAAAACAGACAATATGTTTATAAGGGTGTAACTCTAAGTGGAATTTCATGGATACAATTCATGTCTATAACTTAACTAGCTTTCGACCGCGACTCTGTACGCGTTTATTTAAAAAAAAAAAGAAATAAGTACCCTATGTGTTCTTCCAGGTTGAGGCTACAAACTCTAACGAACATCCATCCATCTAGACTTTCGCATTTAGTAATACAGTAGAACCTCGATAAGTTAAAGTCCAAGGGAAACACAAAATATTTTAAGTTATCAAGGGTTTAAGTTATCTATGTTGGAAAGATTTTTGGCTCTGATGGGAAGGGAACATATTATTTTTTGAAGTTATAGAGGGTTTTAAATTACCGAGGTTTGAGTTATCGAGGTTCTAGTGTACATCATTTAAAAATAAATTCATATACTCACAACATTGCCAGTATCATCAAATTCGTGTATATATTTAACACCAACTGGTGTATGTACATTTTCCACCTCTATGTCTGTAGTCGCAAGGTCCAAATTCCTTTCACTCTTACTTAGTACTTGTACAAAGGAGCCTTTAACGAATCTTTCATGATCAAAATCGATTGTAGCATTTCCATTGCTGTTTTTATCTCCTTGTACGTAATAATATTCTGTATTAACTAAATGTTGAGAGTTCAATGGAACTGAAAGTGATATTATTCCCGTTTGTGTGAAGCCGTTGTTTTGTTTAGTGTAGATATGAGATGTGTTCACTGTCGCTGTTTTATTTGGCCAGAATAAATCTACTTTGTTATCTGATTTCTCTTCTAAGTTGTTAATCTGGAAAATCAAGTATTATAATAATTATATGTAGATAAAAATGTGTTTTATACATATTAATATAGACATATATAATTTTGTTTTGAATTTGAAAAATTGAAATTTCTGGTAATCCAGAAATTTCAATTTCACTTAACTTTATATTCAAAATCTTTGATTAACAATCTCTTAATGTAGATTTCTCTTTAGTAACGTCTCTGAATGGTAAAATTGTCTATTAAGTTTTACTAAATGGATTTATGATAAATTAATTGGTTAAGGCCCAAGTTATCCTGACAAAAATAGTTTTTTTAATCGCAAAAATTCGGAATAGTTTAATATTTTTAACTCCCTAAGTAGATTTCAGTTACTAAATCATCATCTTTAGCTTATTAACGTCCCCAATGAGCTTGGAGCCTCTAAGGGGTAACTCACTAAATATACCAAGATTATCTAAAACTGTTAGACCCTGTCCCACTAAATTGTTAATTGTCTGACAATTCAACTACAACAACAAAGTAAAATATGTGATGGATTTTTTTATTATTATTATATGTTAGGAGCGTCGGTGGCTCAGTGGTTTGATCACTTGATTTGTAATCTACAGGTCTTGGGTTCAAATCCCGCCATGTACCAATGTGATTTTCGATTTTTCGAATTTTCATATGTACATAATTTACCCGAC